TGTGGAAAATTCTGAAAGAGATAGGAGTACCAGATCACCTGAGAAATCTGTATGCAGGTCAGGAAGCAACAGTTAGAACTGGACATGGAACAACAGACTGGTTCCAAATAGGAAGAGGAATACATCAAGGCTGTATATTGTCACCCTGCCTAGTATTTAACTTATATGCAGAGTACATCATGGAAAATGCTGGGCTGGATGAAGTACAAGCTGGAATCAAGATTGCTGGGAGAAATATCAATAACCTCAGATATGCAGATGACATCACCCTTATGCCAGAAAGTGAAGAAGAACTAAAGAGCCTCTTGATGAAAATGAAAGAGGAAAGTGAAAAAGTTGGCTTATAACTCAACATTCAGAAAACTAAGATCATGGCATCCGGTCTCATCACTTCATGGCAAATAGATGGGGAAACAGTGGAAACAGTGGCAGACTATTTGGGGGGGGGGGCTCCAAAATCACTGCAGATGATGACTGCAGCCATGAAATTAAAAGGTGCTTGCTCCTTGGAAGGGAAGTTATGACCAACCTAGACAGCATATTGAAAAGCAGAGACATTACTTTGCCAACAAAGGTATGCCTAGTCAAGGCTATGGTTTTTCAGTAGTCATGTATGGATGTGAGAGTTGGACTATAAAGAAAGCTGAGTGCTGAAGAATCGATGCTTTTGAACTGTGATGATGGAGAAGACCCTTAAGAGTCCCTCGGACTGCAAGGAGATCCAACCAGTCCATCATAAAGCAGATCAGTCCTGGGTGTTCACTGGAAGGACTGATGCCGAAGCTGACACTCCAGTACTTTGGCCACCTGATGCAAAGAGCTGACTCATTTGAAAAGACCTGACGCTGTGAAAGATTGAAGGTGGGAGGAGAAGGGGACGACAGAGCATGAGATGGTTGGATGGCATCACCAACTCAGTGGACATGAGTTTGAGTAAACTCCAGGAGTCAGCGATGGACAGGGAGGCCTGATGTGCTGCAGTACCTGGGGTCGCAGAGTTGGACACGACTGAGCGACTGAACAGAACTGATGGTACTGGATGCCATGATCTTAGTTTTCTGAATGTTGAGTTTCAAGCCAACTTTTTCACTCTCCTCTTTCACCTTTATCAAGAGACTCTTTAGTTCCTCTTTGCTTTCTGCCATAAGGGTGGTGTCATCTGCATATCTGAGGTTATTGGTATTTCTCCCAGCAATCTTGATTCCAGCTTCAGATTCATCCAGCCCAGTATGTCACATGATGTACTCTGTGCATAAGTTAAAAAGGCAAGGTGACAATATACAGCCTTGAGGTACTCCTTTCCTGATTTGGAACCAGTCTGTTGTACCGTGTCCAGTTCTGTTGCTTCTTGACCTGCATACAGTTTTCTCAGGAGGCAGGTAAGGTTGACTGGTATTCCCATCTCTTTAAGAATTTTCCAGTTTGTTGTGATCCACACAGTCAAAGGCTTTACCATAGTCAATGAAGCAGATGTTCTTCTGGAATTCTCTTGCTTAACTGATGTTGACCACCCTAAAATAGAGCTAAAACAAAAATCTCCAACTGATAATTCAGAAAAATTATTAAACACTCCTAGTAATTTTGATCTTGTCTAACTAGGTCTCCTGAAAGTTTCAAAATAAATAATTCTCCCATATAAAAAAAATTAAAACCGAACAATGTGGATGTACCAGATCAGCTTTTTCTTTCATTCTTTCTAGTACTGTACACTACCTCTAACATATGAAAAGCAAAAAAAGAAGAAAACACAGCTAATCTGTCCTAATCCTAATCCAAAAATGGTGTGATAGCAGCAAGGAGATCAAACCAGCCAGTCTTAAGGAAATCAGCCCTGAATAATCATTGGGAGGACTGATGCTTAAGCTGAAACTCCCATTCTTTGGCCACTTGATGTTAAGAACTGACCCTTTGGAAAAGACCCTGATGCTGGGAAAGATTGAAGGCAGGAGGAGAAGGGGACAACAGAAGATAACATGGTTGGATGACATCCCTGACTTATTGGACATGAGTTTGAGCCAGCTCTGGGAGATGGTAAAGGACAGTGAAGCCTGGCGTGCTGCAGTCCATGTGGTCACAAAGAGTCAGACATGATTTGTCAACTGAACAACAAGCAGAATTTGGCTAAACAAAAATGAAAAATAATCCAAAGGTAATTTCTATTTTTCTTGGAAATTCATTTTAATACTGTACTAACTCTGGATGTATCTGACACTCTCAGATTTAATTTCCTATAAGGTATATATACTAATTAACACCTGTTCAAAAGTCTTTACCAGATAGAATCAGAAAGGATAATGTCAACCTTTCCTCCATAATTTTTCTTGGTTCATGCTTTAAGATCAAAATGAGCAATTATGTACAAAATCTGGGCTCCACAATAATAAATTTAGATAATGAATGAAGTTAGAGACACAATAGCAAAGACAAGCACAAGTTGGTCAATTTATGAGAGTCTAGCATTTAAAACAGGACATTTTCTGATACTGTCAATTTGACCCTGCTGCAAAACAAGAAAATGCGTATCAATTCAAAACAAAGTATTTTTATAAATCAGAAATAATCTGAGATATCCTAGACGGTTGAAAGAGTCAAGTGTGTTTACCTCTTACTCTTCTATTTAGAGATCCTGTGTGTCCTCCAAGCCTTTGTAAGACACCAAATCTATCTCTTTTTTTGGTGTTTTTAAGATTTTTATTTATTTTTTGATTGAAGAATAATTGCTTTACAGAATTTTATTGGTTTCTGCCAAATATCAACATGAATCAGCCATAGGTGTGTGTGTGTATATATATATATATATATATATATATATATATATATGGACAGATAAATCTTTGATAACATCAGATTTGTGTTCTAAGTTTTGGTGTTTTAAGAATTAGGTTTGAATTTCAGACTCTGAATAGAGAGCTCTTACGGAAGCTTAAGGATCAATGTGGTCACTGTTAAAATTCAAGAAAGAGAAACTGGGATCTATCTAGTCTTGGCTTCAGCTCTCACAACATGAGCAGAGCTCCACGAGGATGTCTTTGTTTTGTTTTGTTTTGTTTTTTAACGCATCTGATGCCAGATGTTTTTGGCTGAAGATTTGATGTGGTTCCTCCTTAAACTGTGCGTCCTGTTAATAATAGGTACTGTACGGGGCTCCGGGTAAGTGTCACTGGGGTAGGACCTCTATTTTAATACTGTTCCTAACATTTCATTTTACTAGCAAGAAATCGCTGATTTCATTTTATTCTTTGTAATTCTAGACACTAGATTATAGTTTAGCCATACTGACATTTTTTTAAAAAGGGATATATTTTCTTGCACAATTGTTCGCAAGGAGACATGTTTCAGTCTCAGTGCTGCCCTTCGTTTCACAGGTACACGCGTTCTGGCTCCGACAGCTAGGACCAACCGCAGGCCGTCGCGGGGTTTCGCTGGCACCCGCGGGGCCACTGCTCTGGGCGGCCGGGATTGGCACAGAGATGGTACAGTGTGCACGGGTACTGTTCGGACAGACTGGGGTTTTCTGTACTAAAACCTTCCTTTGTATCAAAAGTTAAACAGACTTTAGTACAATAAATAAAGGTCAATTTCTGTAAAAAAAAAAAAAAAAAAGAATTAGGTTTGAACTTGCTAAAAATAAATTGACTACTTTTAAATTCTGTCAATAATTCTTTTCTAGTAACAGCTGATTTTATTAGCATTTTGTGAATGTTTCAGATGCTCTATTACTAAAAATGTATAGCTTTTATTTAAAATTAAAGTATGCATTTTTGAAATATTATTAAAAAAACCTTAACTTTCCCACAATGTTTTACAAGGATCAAAGCAGATGGGCAACATTGTGTATTATGTTAATGTTTTTTTTGCTGTTTAACTTCTCATCCTTTTTTAGAACACTGAATACCCTTCTCACAAAAAGTAGGAAAAATAGAGATAGAATCCCAACAAAAGCTTTCTATATGGTCTCAGGGAGGTGATAAGGGAGGCTGGTGTCACAACTTTCCAAAACCTTTGTCTTTCATAGTGATATTGCCAAGGTAAGAAACTAAAGCGGGGGTATGAAAAGAGAATAGCATGGATTTACCTATTTGAATCTTAATAGATTTTTACATCTTTGATTTTAACATTTTGATCAGGTTAATGATCTAGCTGTATAAGGATCTAAAGAACCTTCTGAAAGTTACAGCATGGGTAAAATGGGAAATATTATGGTGAAAATGCTACACTGTCATAAATTTACATGCCATGAGAAAGCATGTGCAAATTTTCTAAATTACCTCCACATTTTGATCATTTTCTTAAAAACAGGTAGATAGTCACAGTCAATCCTTAAATAAATGAAAAAAAATGCAATAAGTAATGTCACTGATAGGTACAATACCAGTGTAAATATTGTGGTATAATTAATAATTTAATATGTAACAAAAGTCATTCTAAAAAATCAATATATTTCAAAAAAATTTCAGCTGTTATTTCAAAATATGATTTGATCTTAAGTTTATAATAAACTCAGAAAATATACAATTCAAAATAGTTTTTAGTTTTATTAATATGTTGTGAGTAGCTTCTTTTAATTGATAACTTGAATTTTTGTCATACTTCTTAAGTTATAAAAACAGTGGTATAATTGAAATTCAGTCCACAAATAATTCACTCTGAGCTTCAAATTTTTTTTCACATTTTGCAGTTGAGAATTCTAATGCTGCTATAGTAAATAAGGACAGAAAGATGTCTAAATTATGCATATTTGAAGAAAATATTATAATAATGTAAAATCACACAAGAACACACCAAATCATTTTTTTCTGAGGTTTAATTTTAACTAATGAATTTTTAAATGATGAAGGTAATGTCAATCCAAATCTTGAATTATTTGTAATGTACAAACTATTTTTTGTAATTGTAGGTGAAATAGATTATTTTCACCATGGCAATGCCTTCACCCTTATTTATGGTCTTTTTCTTGAGTTCTTTTTCCTCAACAGTTTAACAAGTCACTTCTGGTTTGGCTAAAGTGCAATCCTAGCACAATAATGTTTCAGCTTGCAAGGAAGAACGCCCTTATTGAGTTGATAGAACTCCACCAACTGGATTAGATCCGTAAATCTTGTATGTCCATCATCTAGGGTGTGGAACATCTCACCATCATCTTCCACCTGAAACAGGAAAAACAACAAACCAGTAAGAAGGGAAAAAACTACTCAGAAAGTCAATCATGTTCTATTGCACATTGCATCTTCAAACGCCAAAACTGACACATTTATAATACTAAAGGACAGTGAAAAGATTTTGGCACATCCACTTATTTTTTGTAACTTTACTTGCATCTAAAGGAAATATCATCTGATCCCAAGGTAAGGTGTGGCTCTACTTCCTGTATCTTTAATTCTCTTAATGTTCTGTAGTTAGAATAGTAGGACAAGTCTGAATCAATACAGTACACAGTGAGAAATCTGCACTATTTAGTGTGAGAGTAAACAAAAAATTTTGTTATGCCTACCCTCAAAAAATAATTTCCATTTCTAATTGCTATCTACCTAAACCCTCACTTTGTATATTTAAAAATGAATATCCACCAGAATTTGTATCAGTAAATTGATTCTGGAGCAGTCAGTCAAACATTATGTTAATGGAATGACAGGTTGGTTTGGGTTTTTTTCCCCCTTTGCATTGAGATCTTCGGGCATTAAGCAATTCAAAACTTGCCAGGGATGTCACTCACATAATCAAATGTAGTCAGGAAGAAACTTCATATGGATTGGATAATTTCAAAAAGTTCATTTGAAAAAAGAAAACACTAGCAACTTAGCAATTTCATGTTAATACTTTCTTAAAAGTAGACTGGATCTCTGTTCCACACAATCTGGTTCTAATACACAGATCACATGCATACATACATGCACGCATGTGTATACACACATACACACACACAGCAGAAGCAATAACAACAACAAAAAATCTCAAAGCAAGCTGTGCCACCTGGAAGCAGAATTACATTTTTAAAAGGTGTTCAGAATAGTTTAAATAATGATCTCCAGTGCTACAACACCTGCTAACATATCCATAATGATGATTATAAACAAAACTACAAAAAAACACTTTTGGGACAAGAGAGGAGAATGGGCTTTAAGATATGGTTTTTAAACAACCACTAGTAGATTTCAGGAAAAAGAATTTTCAGTGGCCTAGGTGGCATGGGGTCTATACAATATTATCAAATCATATTTCATGAGAAAATGGAAATTTAATTTTTACAATTCCTGTATTTCTTATATTAATTCAGACTCATAAAAGCATTTCTGCTATAGTTAACTCTAGTCAAAGCACAAGCTCCCATATTATATTTAATAAAAGAACCAAAGAAAACTAAAGTCTCCAAAAGCGTATGCATTAAGATCATCTCTAATACATGAATAAGAAATCACAAATACTTACTGGTATAATCTGAAAGTGCTTTATTTTTTGTCCATGACTCATTGACAGTACAAAAGTTTTGGGGTTACTCTGACTATCCCGTACCAAGAAAACTCTAAAGAGAGAGAAGGAATTTCAATATTTTTCTATATTTATTCATGGATTTCATAGAAAGATAGCCTATACCAAATCCAGGAAATATATTCCTAAATGTAGCCAGAGTTTTCCTTTACTGTGTATTCAGTGATGGGATTATCCAACATGGTAAACAATATGGTATGATATACTCTAATACTATAAAACTATCATTGGAACTAATTTAATTTTAATAGGATAAATACACAGTCATTTGTCAGAGTTTTTCCTCACAATAACCAATATAAAGCTATGCTGGCATCAACAATTATTGCCAAGTCCTTTTTCCAGTGGGAAGTTGGGTAATAATATGCAACTCTTTGGCACAGAGAATGAATCATTAGCATATTGTTTCTTCTGGGTCATGTAAGGTCCTGCAGAAAGAAAATTTTTAGAATTAAAAAATTTTAAACCCACTCTTCTATACTGGATACTTTTTTTTTTATTCTGGTTTCTACTATTACATACAACTGAAACTGAGAAGTGAATATATTCTAAAAAAATCAATCGTGAAATCATTTATTAAATGTTTGAGCAAAATATTTTTCGTAAAAGAAACACCCCAAACAACATTTACTTCAACCTTGAAAAAGGTAGCATAAAGTCTCTATAACAAGCTAGAAAAACAAGACACGTCCTCATGGCCTAAGAAAAATGTGACCAGGCGTGGATTCTTATTAACTGGCAACTCAGTGCATCACCATCTTTGTATTAATTGCTGGCAAACAGACTGTGCCAACAGTCCCCACTGGTGACACCAATACTAATCTCACTGTGCCTGGGAAAAGAGAGCCAAATGTGAGCCATCACAGACGTCTGACAAGATTAGCCATTTCATCTGTGCTGTGTGATTCTGACATTACATCTCTGGGAGATGGGACAAAAGGGAGTTTCCCTGGTCAGTCAAGCTCTAAGTCTCGCCCCATTCCTGATTCCTGAGTGGATCAACACTACCCCCTAGTGGACTGCCTGACAGCATCACATCTTTCCAAAAGGAATACCAAAAACCATTTTTTTTAAATTAAAAAACGTAAAACATAACGATACTCTCATTCTTTATGCAGTTATTCATTCAATTAAAAAAACTGGGCTCAGAAATAAGGAAAATTATAATCCTCCAAAATATTTTGACAATTCTTTGTGATTTACTTTTTTTATTGGTCTTATCAGATGGTAATTCTGCTGATTGTTCAGATTTAATCTAAAAAGATCTAGTTCCAATGCAGAGTATATTGAAATCTTTTCTTATTTAGAGTCTTCTGAAATGCTGACTTTCTATTAATAATCTTCTACATGAAAATGCATTTTTGTCCAAATGTCTATATTAAATCACCTTGAAATCTTGCCATCATCTTAATCCAACCCTTGAAGATATAAGATCCCATTGCTGCTGCTGCTGCTGCTAAGTTGTGGCAGTCATGTCCGACTCTGTGTGATCCCATAGACAGCAGCCCACCCATTACCACTTGTTTAAATTGATGCTGGTTTTATTTCCCATTGAAACCTCAATACAACCTCCTTAATTTGTACTGCATTTAGGAATAAAATTCAGCTAATATTATATTATAGGAAGTATCTGTAACACTGAGTAATTTGAGAAGAATAAAATTTTTTAGACTATAAATCTTGCATAATAGATTTTCTGCTTCTCCTGTGTCTTCTGTGGTCTCCCACTAAAAGATAACATGAGAAGAGTCAAAAAGTACTATTTTCATAGGTTTATATTACTTGAAACTGTTAAAATTTAGAGGAAAGAAATGGGATGCAAACAGAAAAACATGACATAATCTAAGTACATAAGAAACAGCTTTTTACTTTACTTTTATGTTTTACTTTAACACACCCTCCGTCAAACTTAAAAAATGTATAACATGTAAGATGTGGTTCATGCTTTTGTAAGATGCGGTTCTGTCATGACACAAGCCATACTTTGCCACCGTACTAATTAATTCAAACCAAAATGTTGACACGCCAAAACGTGTTCAGTTTTTGCCCCATCAATTAATATCTGAGATGCACAGAATGGGAAAATATTAACTATCACTGTTTAAGACCAGAGAATCCTAATCAACTATTTGCTTTATGGACAAAGACTATGCAACCACTGTGTAACAGGTCTTGTCTAGGTATTGCTAGGATTCAATGGCAACCAACCTTACAACACAAAGTCACTTCTTTTTATTGAGCCGAAATCAAAACTCTCTCTGTGTGTTGAATAAGTAATTACTGATTATAGGAGAAATCAAAAATCAGTGCTATTCAAAATCTAAACTTACCCATCCACTAGACCTTGCTGAATAATTAATCGCTGAGCTTCCTCTCTAGAAATTTTGTGGTGAAACCATGGTTGGGACCGGTGGATAGCTGAAGAAATAAAGTGGGGTAATACAAGATTTGTTTACAATGATCACAGTCTAGTTACATGTACTCTGACCCTCGCCCCTCAGCGACTATGTCTAAATGCAACCTCCCCACCCAGCTGGCCTCAGTGACTGCACAGACATACCCATGTTTGTGGCAGAGCTCTGTGAAGACGCGGTGGGGCTACCGTGACTGCCCAGGCGTAAACATCCTTTTTTCTGCATAAGGAAGTGGGAAACAAATTTCAACTTTCGGGGTGAAACAAATTCAAATCACAAACATTTTGAAGAACATGAAGCTAATCTGTACCCTCCAGGCTAGTCCTTCTTCAACGGCAACAGAAAGGGCTTCAGTGGGATTTTCTATAACTCTGGTTTTCTGGCCTGAGAAGTCCATTGCTACCAGGGAATTCTCTGATATACTTCTCTGGAAAAAAGCACATTTTTTTTTTTACCTTGAAAATACCTTTGAAGTTACCTTTCAGTCCTTCGCTGGCAATATATTTTAGGATATGGTTCCAAAGGTAACTAGCAGGAAATTAAAAAGTTAACAATACATATTGAATAGGAAATGATGCTATAAAATAATCTATTTAAGTAGGTTACACAGTTATTAAGGTCACTGGATTAAGAGAAATTAATAGCTTTCAAGGTAGGTATGTCTTTCTCCTAAAGCAACCCTGTATCTTTGTATTCATTTAAGCAGAAAAATACCAATTTACAAAAAAATAACCCTTCATGTGGCTAAAAATATCCATCATTTCCAAATTCATCCCTCTATTATAACTTTGAAATTCATCAATGGTTATTTAAATGTGAAATCTACCTACTTATAAAACAGCTTTTATTAAGATTCAAGATACACTAAAGCTATAACAGACTGACTTACATTACTTCTTTAGAAAGAAACAGTACTCATATTTTATAATAAACCAACAACATGTATTTTAAAAGTTTATCACATCAACTTTCCTCTATCTTAGAAAATGAAATTTAATGAAATAATTCAGATAACTCCTTAATACTAAAATTTCTATGATTTAGTATGAAAATATTTTTTCATCTTGTAGGCAAAAACATGGCAAAATGAGAGTTGCAAAAATTAGTCTGAAAGACAAAAGAACCAGTATAAAAGGAAGACATCTTTAAATAATTTTAAACAAGTAAGAAAGTCATCTTTGCCAATTACTTTTTTTATTTTTTATTCTGGCTGTGAAAATAAAACATCCAAAACATGGACCTTATTTTATTTTTTCTTTGTTTAGGACTCTAATTCACAACCATCTTTCTTAAAAATGTGTCATCTTAAATAATGTATCCTAAAAAAAAAAAAAGTTGTCAAACTCTCCAATTACAAGTGTCACTCGGTTTACAGAAATCAAAAGACAAAATATCCAAAACCAGCATGTGCATGCATGTTAAGTCACTTCAGTTGTGTCCATCTCTTTGTGACCCTATAGATCACAGTCTGTTGGATTATCGAAAAAGTGAGTGAGTTCCAGAAAAACATCTATTTCTGCTTTATTGACTATGCCAAAACCTTTGACTATGTGGATGACAATAAACTGTGGAAAATTCTGAAAGAGAAAGGAATACCAGACCACCTGACCTGCCTCCTAAGAAATCTTTATGCCAGTCAAGAAGCAACAGTTAGAACTGGACATGGAACAACAGACTGGTTTATAATCAGGAAAGGAGTACATACATCAAGGCTGTATATTGTCACCCTGCTTATTTAACGTATATGTAGAGGACATCATGAGAAACGCTGGACTGGATGAAGCACAAGCTGGAATCAAGATTGCCAAGAGAAATATCAATGACCTCAGATATGCAGATGACACCACCCTTATGGCAGAAAGCAAAGGGGAACTAAAGAGCCTCTTGATGAAAGTAAAAGAAGAGAGTGAAAAAGTTGGCTTAAAACTCAACATTCAGAAAACTAAGATCATGGCATCTGGTCCCATCACTTCATGGCAAACAGACAGGGAAACAATGGAAACAGTGACAGACTTTATTTTTTGGAGCTCCAAAATCACTGCAGATGGTGAATGCAGCCATGAAATTAAAAGATGTTTGCTCCTTGGAAGAAAAGTTAAGACGAACCTAGACAGCATATTAAAAAGCAGAGACATTACTTTGCCAACAAAGGTCCGTCTAGTCAAAGCTTTGGTTTTTCCAGTAGCCATGAATGGATGTGAAAGTTGGACTGTAAGAAAGCTGAGCACTGAAGAATTGATGCTTTTGAACTATGGTGTTGGAGGAGACTCTTGAGAGTCCCTTGGACTGCAAGGAGATCCAACTAGTCCATCCTAAAGGAAATCAGTCTGAATATTCATTGGAAGGACTGATGAAGCTGAAACTCCAATACTTTGGCCACCTGATGTGAAGAACTGACTCTTTGGCAAAGACTCTGATGCTGGGAAGACTGAAGGCAGGAGTGGAAAGGGACGACAGTGGATGAAATGGTTGGATGGCATCACCAACTCCACTGAAATAAATTTGAGTAAGCTCTGGGAGTTGGTGATGGACAGGGAAGCCTGGCATACTGCAGTCCATGGGTCACAAAGAGTTGGACACGACTGAGTGACTGAACTGAACTGAAGTGAGACCATAGTCCACCAGACTCCTCTGTCCATGGGATTCTCCTGGCAAGTATACTGGAGTGGGTTGCCATTTCCTCCCCCAGAAGATCTTCCCTACCCAGGGATCAAATCTATGTCTCTTAAATCTCCTGCATTGGCAGGTGGGTTCCTTACCATAGTGCCAACTAGGAAGCCCATAAACCAGCATGGGCAATGTTTAATAGTTTTTCCCCACTGGTCATTAATAGATGAGCAACAAACACAAAAAATGGGTTTCCCAGATGGAGCCAGTGCTAAAGAATCCACCTGCCAATCCAGGAGACCAAAGAGATGCGGTTCAACTCTCGGGTCAGGAAGATACCCCAAAGGAAATGGCAACCCGCTCTGGTATTCCTGCCTGGAAAATTCCATGGACAGAGAAGCCTGACGGACTACAGTCCCTGGGGTGCAAAGAACCGAACATGACTGAGCGTGCACGTGCACACACACACACACACACACACACAAAGGAGTTTTCATAGTAAAGGATGCGCCAACATACACCTGGAGACTCCTGGCTTAAGGCCATTTTGCCTCTCTCTCCACACAGTTTCTGGCATATCCTGCTTCGTCTAACAGACTCTAGTCAAATGTCTGCTCGAAACAAAACTTGGTTCATACAAAAATGGGAGGGGGGGTCATTTATCTCTGCATTACACATCCCACTTTGTTAGCATTTATTATTTCCTCTCAAAACCTTGCTGTAGTGGTCCACAATCTTACTACAGTTCATCTTTATTTGTGGCGATCCGGCGTGCAATCTTTCATTTGTTACAGGAGTTTTTGTAACTGACAGCTGCTCTTTCCAGACAGATGCTGTCTCTGTAATCTCTATTTGCTGTCACACCTTACTTTGCCCTTCTCACCCCATGATCTCCTGTGCTGGGCTGTGGACCAGTCAGATATACTTTTGCTTTGCCGACATTAATGAAAAGCTTCCACCTGCCCAAGCCACAGAGTAACTAATCTCAATCATAATGATAGCTTTATCCGTATAATATCTCTGCCTTCACATGCCAAGATGGCCTCTGTAATCACAAGACTCTGACAACATAAAAATACCATTAGGAAAGAAAAATAAACATAAGCAGTTGTTCTTAATTCGTTTCTCATTTTTCCCCTTATAGTATGACAGGCTGAAATGTAAAACAATATCCCATGTTCCATAATTACTTGACCTTAAGTAGGGAGTCTACAATACAAATAAGTATTTTCATTTGCTATATTACTACACTAGGGGAACACACAGAAATAGAGCAAATGTTTTCTACTGAATGGCAGGTGGTAGATGAAAAATTAATAGTTTACCTTTGGTGGACAAAGAAATGGAAGTGAAGCAAAATCTGACTTGAACCAAAAGGTCATTTTCAGCTCAATTTCTTTCACATAGGAAAGCGACATTGTTAACATTCAGAATCAATGTATTTCTCAACTATTTGTCCCTTTTTCTAGCTCTTCCATGTGGTGGATAAACAGGGCAAGCTCGAAAAATAAAAGTCCATGATTTTAACAGCATGCCTCTGTTTAAGAAAGAAGGAGCCTGAGTACACCCTCCATTACCCGGATCATCCTTGAGATCAGATCCAAACACTTTTGAGTGAGGCTGGGGCCTGAAATGTTTTTCAGGCAGCTTAGCTAAGCAGCAACTAGTTAACTACTTAGTCTCTGCCACTCCAGGGCTTCCCTGGTGCTCAGATGGTAAAGAATCTGCCTGCAATGTAGGAGACCCAGGTTCAATCCCTGGGTCAGAAAGATCCCCTGGAGAAGGGAATGGCAACCGACTCCAGTATTCTTACCTGGAGAATTCCATGGACAGAGAAGCCTGGCGGGTTACAGTCCATGGGGTCGCAAAGAATCAGACACGACTGAGCAACTGACTTTCACATAAACATGCAGTGCAAGCCGCAGTAAGAGGACACAGAATTTCCTCAGATGGCGTCCTCTCAGTATCGTACAGAGCCACGGGACATCAGAGGGGTAATCATTTCTACAGATCACACAACCACCCTCCCTTAGTTTATACTGCAGGCCACCAGTGACTCAACCCAAGTCACACACTTGGTGCAAATAGTGACGGGCCCTCTCTAAGGTTCTTTTCTGTACCACGGGATGGAGGTACAGGGGAGAAAATGGCAATTTGGAATGTCTAGCTCAAGGTCAAATATGAGAAACAATAAATAAGAACTTCAGTTGATTTGCTTCTCCCATCCCCTCATTCTGGCCAGGGTCTAACTAACAGATGTTCCTTTAAATGAATTCCTTTTTTTGTCCTAAAAAAAGACCAAATATCTGCTTCTTGAAATATCTGCTGATGATTCTCCTTTCAAAGGCTGATGGGGTAGCTACTGTGTGCTATATATAGTTAAGATGTTCATTATGGTATGATCATTTTTTTTCTCATTTCCCTTCTCAAAATGAATCCCTGGAGAAGAAAATATTGTCCCTTAAAACTATAACAAAATTAGGAAGCTTTTCCTGCTGCTCCTTGCACATGGTACCTTGATGAAAACCCAAGGAGGCAGGTGAGGTCACTGATTTTCTCATCTAGAAATTATCCTGGGATTCTGTATAGATATCAAAGTAAACAAAAATGCCTCCCCAGTCTGCTAGTTTTCCTTCGTGAAAATTAAGAAGAGTTGAGATGCCATTTTGTCTGATCATGTCAACTGCCATACAGGACTAGATCCTTGTCCTCATCACAGAGGTTTAAACCTCTTGTCTTTGAACCCCTGTTTACACCAAATTCAAGACTCAAGGAGTGTCTTTTCTTATACAGGTGCCGAAAAAATAAAGCTACATTAACTGAACTGTCATAGTTATAATGATCAACAGTAGGATCAGTTTCAATGGAAAGAAGCAAGAATAATACTATACTTGTATATTAATGACAGTGATGAGACTGGAAAGGACTTATTTTATAGCATTTTTTCCCTATGATTAAGAGGATACTAAATAATAATTGCCTCCAAATCATGGCTGCTATTAACATGCTCATCCTAATAACTTTAGACTCTGAAAGAAATTTAGAAGGATTTAGAAAAGGATTAAGATAATAAAATTCATTATTCATATATACATGAATTAAAAGATTAGGGTAAGCTGACAAATTATAAAAATTCTCACCTTAAAGCTACTGCTTTTATAAAAATTCATTACATGCCTTACTTTCTTATTTTAGAGCTAAAAAGTAATCGATATAAAAATGAAAAGTTACTCTTCCTTAACTTAAAGCACCATAACTACAGAATTGGAATTCTTTTTCCATATTAGTCTATCAGGATACATAATTGACATTATTTCATGCCTCATTCCTAGAACTAAGCGTTTTATCTGCTATGTTACCACGTGCGAAAACGCACCTCCCTTGGTCACAGCCATGAAAAGCATGTTTTAACCTAAGTGTAAATGCAGCATGTTAGCCAATTTGTCATACAAGCTCATATGTCCAAATTTCCAATATACTTAATAGTAAAGAGCACAAGCAAAAACAGCAGAACATAAACTTTAAGTTCAAAAATAAATTTCTTGTTAATGCACAGGAAATTAAAATTAGGTCCCAAAGACGGGGAAAGATGTATCTGTGTATAAATATCCAAGTGCCATTTAGGATAAACTTGTGAAGCGGTGCTAGTCTTAATGTAATGCACAACCAATATTTTGGCTTGCATCTTTTGGGTTTCCTGGAGAGCGGTATGTTTTTCAAGGACCTGAAACTTTAAAAATATTATTGTTAGAAAGTCAGAATGCAAAAGAAGTCACAGGCTATGATAATCCCAGAATTAATATTTAGATAAATAAACCTACAATCAAATCAATAATTAAGAAATATCTACACTCTCAAGGACAGTGTTCTATAAAATATCTTATTAATATCTAATCATCAATGTAATGACACACAATGACTCTCATAATTCTTTCAAATATTTAAAATTTTTCTTTAACATAAAACATTATTTTAAGTGACTACTTAATGTATGCCCCACTATGTGATTTTATCATATAAGCTGCAATCATACAAAATCCAAATGTAAATAGTTTAATATAACATGATGGTAAGAAGCTGTGCAAAAGTTACTTTACTTGACAAAAAAAACAAACAAACCAGGAAATGTAATGTAATGTACATATATAATGTAACATGATTGCAAATTAATGTAATGTAAATATAAAATAAGATGTAGGTTCAAAAACTTGGTCCTTACCATGGGAGATATACTCTGAGAACTGTAGCCACTTCTGCCTTGATATGGATGCATGTAATTCTGGTATAGCTGCATGCCATACTGCAGAATAAATAAATAAAAACACAGTCCCACCACTTTTACCACATACATAACTTATGAAAATCAATACTTTCATTCATTATACATCAATATAAAAAATGAAAATTACAAGCTTTCATTAAAACAAATAAGTAAAGCAACCAAAAGTTTGAAAGACAAAATTTGATGTTCTAAATGGGACAGTTTCAAAGAGTGATTTTTATTGGGACCCACACTTAAGTTCTAGCTCACAATACAAAGATCTGGAATTGACATTCCTACTCATTATTCTTAGTGTCAACAGCACCAAAACTATGTGGCGTGGTATATCACCTAATGATAAGAGAGCTCACTTGGGAAATCTTCCTGAGTTTATGGTACAAAGACTCTGAGAGTCTGACACACATCCTAAGCAGAATTGGGTAAAATTTACCATAACTCTTCAATGACAAATTTACTATAACTTCAATGACTGATTGATGAATTACACTGTTTTTTTGTAATCCACAAACTTGATCCTATTTTGGAGATTCCTGGCACTGTACGATTCCTCTGGTAACAATACTCTTAGGCCATTGTTTAATTTTTTACTTTAAATTCTGGGAATCAAAATGGTGGGGCATCAGGTTGATTTCAGACAAAGGGTCATGGCATACAATGTAAAGAGCAATAGATCAGAACTACACAATGTTTACTTTCAAGAGGTAGCATCATAAGAACCAGACTGCCAGGCTACAATAAGAAAGTGGGTCTAGATTATAATTGGATTATTAGTTTGAGAAACACTAAGAATGTCAATTGCCATGGCCAAATATCTTACAGGAGCCCCCGTCTAAAACTGGAAGATAACCCCCTTAGATATAAGTTACTCCCTTAAAAAAAAAAAGAAAAAGAAAGGAAGAAACCAATGGAACAGATAGGCTTATCTTTTTTTCTGCTACCTTCTATAATTCTCTCCATTTCATGGAGCCATTATGAACTTAAAAGTAGGTCCTATATAAAAGACTTTGAAAAGACACCATGGAAACCAATATTACCCTTAGGATGAATTCCATTTAAACATTCCAACAGAGCTATTTCTCTACTAAAAACTATTTTCATGAAAGCAATTTCAGCAATGTGGATATATTTGGTAATTAGTCAGAAAGTCAGAGGGGGGCAAGGGAAGTCACTGTTTTCAAGATTTTGCTTTTAATATGAATACAAACCTAGAGTCATTTAAAATTCTCTGTGTTGACTTCTTTATCCAATTATTTCCCAACTTCTAAAAGTTATTTTTTAATTTAAGGTTTGATTGACATTAATAGGGTCTAATGAAATTTATTTTAAATCAACTCTAAGCCTACAATGACTTTAAAAAGAAGACAGAGGAGCTTAATTTCGAGTCAAGTTCATTTTGAAGAATATATAATAGACTCCAACCAACATTTTCACAAGTACATGCTGCCTGGACACCTTTTATTCACCTGTAGTGAAAAGTCTGCCATCTACTAATAAGACTGTTTTCTTCAAAGATGTTCTATCCTCAATACCCCCTGGCTTTGGGAAGTTGCTTCTGTGCTGCTGAAAGTCTTTAGTAGGCAGTTAACTCTGTCCAAGAGGTAGGGCATGGATCACCTTAATATTTCCCTGTCCTATGGAGGGGCAGATAAAGGACCAAAATATGTTAAAAAGTTCTAACTGAAGGGAAGGGGAAAAGACACGATGTACCCGGGACACTCTACACGAACAAATCTCCCCTTTTCTAAGTCTCTGATTTTTTTCTGATTCTACATGGAAATGGAATTTCTTCAAAGAGAATGGGAATATTTCTGTTTGTTGCTACACGAAGAGTTTACATGTATATATGAAAAAGAAAGGAAAATAAAACAAGAGGCCAAAATTCTTGGGGGAGACTACATCTAATAAACAGCATATAATGGAAATAAGAAGGGTACTTCTGGTTGAGCCAACATAACATAGACTAGTCTTCCCCTGCTCCTTGCTGATAAACTGTGGAAATAACACAATAGGCAAACAAAGAAGATGATCAAAAGCTACCTCTAACCCCAGGTGAGCCCAGCTGCACCAGCCATGGGGATCAAATCAGCACCTCACTGACAACAAGCTGCCAGTCCCCTGTTAGAGAGTCTCAAATGTGTGTGTGCTGGCAGGCTCAGACTTCCTGTAACTAATTATTTTTAAATGTAAAACAGATCGTATCACTTTCCTGTTTGATTCCATGGTGGTTTCTCATTGGCTCCATGCTAAAGGACTTCACTGATGCTGGCCTGTATTTCCAGCCTCATCTGGAAAAGCTTTGCCATAATTGAAACAAACAGGGAACATGGATGCGGTAGCAGAATAATGGGCCATATATGTCCACATCCTGGAACCTGTGAATATAATACATCAGGCTAGCTGTGTGTGTGTTAAGTCACTCAGTTGTGTCTGACTCTTTGCGACCCCATGGACTGTAGCCCACCAGGCTCCTCTGTCCATGGAATTCTCCAAGCAAAGATACTTGAGTAGGTTGCTAGGCTAGCTGGCAAAGGGGAAATAAGGTTGCAGATACGATTAAGGGTGTTGATCAGCTGACTTTGGAATGACATGATTGTCTTAGATGATCCTGGTGGATCCAGTGTAATCACAAGGGTCCTTATCCAGAGCCAGAAGAGAGAATCAGAAAAAAGGGAGCATGGACTCAAAAGGATATTGCTGACTTTAAGGATGGAGGAAGGTGTCAGTCTCTAAAGGCTGGAAAGTGCAAGAAAACAGGTCCTCCCTTAAAGCCTCCAAAAGATAATGGAGCCCTGTTGACACCTTCTTTTTAGGCCAATAGACCCACTTCAGATGTCTGAATGACAGAGGTAAAGGATGATAATTTTGTGTTTAAAGCCACTACGCTGGCAGTAATATGTTTACAGCAGCTTTGGAAAACTGATACAACACAGCCTCTTTAAACTGGGCAACTGGGACTTGAAAGATACTGAGAAGAGTCAAACAATAAGAAGATACAATCTTCCAGAAACTGAGCATTCTAGATTCAAAAAGAATAAAACTTTCAGTATATTTCATCATTTCTCAGACAGACATCTGTTTTTAGACTAACAATCTGTATATTATAACCTATGGCATTTTATAGTCACTGTAGACCAAGCAACTTGCCATTGCCTGAAATTGATGGGATTAAAAAGTCATTAGCATCAAACCTTGCAAAGGGATTGCCAGTGGCTAGAAAGAACCTCACAGACCATGGCAGAGCACTCATCTGCCTCCCCTAAGCTCTTGAAGGCACAGAGCTGGATAATCTGTGGAAAATATAAGTATCCATGACTCTGAGATGAAAATGATTCAGAAAAGTCAGATTTAGAATATGAAGAAGTTTCATGAATACCTTAACTAATTTATTTCATATATATATATACATGTATATATATATACATGTACATACACAAAATTGATAACTTCAACAAAAATGAGAAGCAGGACTACAGGCCTAAATAAATCTAAATACTCAAATGAAAATAAAAATTATAAGTGATGTGAAACCTCACATCATAATTTTATTGGCATAATTCTTATCTTTCTAGTTCCATAAAAATAATGGAGCATCCTAGTAAAATCAATGGCATGTTAGAGTCACTGAAGGACTATTTAAAGGAAGTGGGTTTACCACCTGCTTCTGTGTTGGGTATTTGAATCTGAGCCCATGAGAAGGGAGAAAGTCTTGCTCAACAAGGTTGGAAGGTATCTCCTCAGTCAACCTAGCTAGGCTTCCAGAGTTCTGATGGAAGGGGAGAGAAAATCAGAGACCTTAAGATATTTTCTCTACCATAACTGTGACGGAATAAAGTCTTTCAAACAGTGTCAGCTTCTTTATCTGTGAAAGGAGGAGACGGGATGAAGTCAGTGGTTCTTAATCGGGTAGACACTTGGAACTCAATCACGAACTCAGGATTCCCGAGGATGCAGCTGGGCACATGGGGCTTCAGAAAGCAGCTCCTGTGATTCCAATGCAGGTCCCTGGTTACCAAGTTACTACTGTCTCGACTGGTTGGTTTCCAAGACACCCTAAAGTACTTCTCTCTTTTTCATTTTGTTTGTTTGTTTTACATTTTATGACAATGAGAGCAACATAGAAGTGACTAGTGATTACTTATCATGAGGGTTTCAAAAAATTAATAATTATAAGATTTGCAGAAATCAAAATCATGACAGCCATTTTGACAATAGACTATTTGAGAAACAAACAAATCTCTAATAAAAAGGTAACCATAGTGACTTTCTGCCATAACACAAAAGGAAGAAAATTTCACAGTTAATCCAAAAGCTTTAAATTACATTTAAACACTTGCTTCTTACCACTTCACACCCACTAGGATGACTTTTTTTTTTTTAATGGAAAATAATTCATGTTCGTGAGGTATGGAGAAGTTGGAATTCTTATACATTCCTGGTGGGAATATAAAGTGGTTTAGCCTCTGAGGAAAACATTTTGGCAATTAATCAAAAAGTTAAACATAGAATTACCATATGCCCAGCAATTCCATTTTTAGGTATATGCTGCTAAGTCACTTTAGTCGTGTCCGACTCTGTGCGACCCCATAGACGGCAGCCCACCAGGCTCCCCCGTCCCTGAGATTCTCCAGGCGAGAGCACTGGAGTGGGTTGCCATTTCCTTCTCCAATGCGTGAAAGTGAAAAGTGAAAGTGAAGTCACTCAGTCATGTCCAACCCTTGGCGACCACACAGACTGCAGCCTACCAGGCTCCTCTGTCCATGGGATTTTCCAGGCAAGAGTACTGGAGTGGGGTGCCATTACCTTCTCCGTTTTAGGTATATACATATATATATAAAAAAATAAAAACTGTTACTAAAATAAATATGTGTATAGACATGTTCAAAACAGCACTATTCACAACAGTAAAAGGTAGAAACAATCCAAATACCCATCAATGGATAAATGGATAAACAAATTGTTTATCTGACATATATGTGTATGTTAAACAATGCACATACAATGGAATATTACTCAGCCATTAAAAGAACAACGTACAGATACAAGCTGCTACAACATGGATGAACCACAAATTATGCTAAGTGAAGAAGCCAGATCCAAAATGTCACATACTATATGATTTTGTGTGTATGGTGGTTTAGTTGCTAAGTCATGTCCAATTCTTTGTGACTCCATGGACTGTAGCCCCCCAGGCTCCTCTGTACATGGGATTCTTCAAGCAAGAATATTGGAGTGGGTTGCCATTTCCTTCTGCAGGGATCTTCCCGACCCAGGGATCAAACCCAGGTCTCCTGCACCGCAGGCAGATTCTATACTGACTGAGCTACTGGGGATGCCCAAAAACATGTGCCACCCAATGTGGGGCCTGAACCCATGACCCTGAGATTAAGAGTCGCATGCTCTACTGACTGAGATAGCTGGGCACTTTTATTTGTATGAAATATCCAAATTGGTAAATCCATAGAGGCAAAACATGGTTGCCAGGGGCTGGGAGTAACTGCTTACTGGGCACAGAGTTTCATTTTGAGTGAAGAAAATGTTTAGGAACTAGACAGAGGTGGCAGTTGCACAATATTTTGAATGTACTCAATGCCCCTAATTTGTTCATATTAAAAAGACCTAATTTGGTTAATTTTATGTTACATGTATTTTACCTCAATTAAAAAAAAAAAAAAGGAAAAGGACAGAACATAAAACTTTCCTCCAAGCCTGGTATGACAACTACTAATTCTGATCCTGATTATTCTGCCCGTCTTAAAATGAAATGGGTGAAGTTTTATAATTATAAATTTAAAGTTGTGCTAAATTTACTAGCATACAAGTTTTGAAAATACATGTGCTTCCTATACATCCAGGAAGGTATCAGCTGTGTCTCTCTTCCCTAATACTTTCAGAACATTCTTATTCCTTGTCAAAATGCTTGCCAATAAATTTTGCTTGTGGAAGCTATAATTCTTACTTAGCACAAAGGTAAATATTTGAATAATACAGCTACAGTAAAATTTGTAAAATAATTTACATTAGACTAAAAAGCAATTCACTCAATACTTCAATAAAACATAAAACATAAAACATAAAACATAAAACAACTACAGAAAACATATCCAAGTGGGCACATTTTAAAATACACTTTACCTCGAATTGATGACAATGTTTTTAAAATGCAGACTAAGTAACAGACAGGAGAAATTTCAGTCAGTTTTACTGGATATATATGTAACACTCTTATCAAACAATAAAAATCAGAACATTTCTAAAAATGGAAGACTCCACACACACAAGATAAAAGCATTAGGTTATTCCACTCTACTCTGGAAATGTTTATCTTTTAGATAAAAATTAAAATACATGCATATAGTGGTGGTTATTTTTCTTTTTCCTCACATAACCACACGGATTCAGAGTGAGTCTTCTAAGTTTTGAAATACAGCCATTTTCAAACTTTGATGGTACTCCCAGCATTTAATAGAAATTCACGCCTGCAGTGAGATTACCTTAAGCAATCTAATCGCGGTCACCCAGCACATCCTACTCTGCTCTTCTTCTGCACAGAGCATTTTCAGGTCTCGGGGCCCTCCCGCTTTGTTAGGCTAGAAGGCCACAGCACATTGTTTATCGTTAATGCATATCTTGAAGGTAACACCTGTTGAAATAAAAGCCACTAAAATTCTCCTATATATAAGAGAAAGCTGTCTCTTTTTAAAAGAAATTAAAAGAAACTCAAGCTTACCTAAAAGGCTGAGGCTTGCTTTATTCATCTAGCAAAATATTAAGCCTGTACCTTAAAGCAGAATCCATAGTTAGTCGGTGCTCCGTGTTTTTTTTTGCCTGCCAGTGACACATAAATATCACTATTGCCAAATTCGCTGAAAAACTGCAAATGCCGTGGTTCCTTAAAAAAATATACATGTGTGTGTTGAAATGGGTACATATATTTTACACTACCTTCTGTATTTCTATTATATTACATAATTTATACCTTGGTAAACATTATCCCAAATAATGTCATAGAAACAAAAGGAGAGGAAAACTAAGTCACCATATCCTTAGATAACCAGGAGCTGGATATGAGATTATTTAATTTAAGAAGAGGCAACCTGTTTACAATTTAACTTCCAATATATCAAAAAATATATCTCCATATTTAAAATGACTCGCTTTAACCACCACTTCAAGGAATCTGAGGGAAAGAAGAAAGATAGCAAAGAACAGCTTTTGAAAATGTTTTCTTTATCTGGGTTTCAAATAATGGTAGTTCCTCAAAGGGAAGAAGGGTGGTTTAAGCTTCTGCAGGAGTAAAAGAAAAAAAAAAGAAACAGATGATGATCCCTGCTTCACTGAGAAATGATCATTCCTCATGTTTGTATACTGCCTCACACACCACATCAAGTAATGTAAGAGGCAGCATGACCACCTTCTTTTACAAAAGCAAGGGAACCTGTACAGATAAACGCAGGGAAATTCCCTGCAATGGAATATGTATGATTTTCAAGGTAAAATGGAATCATGAAGGGCTATTTTTTCTCTGGGAAAGCCATGAGATTTAGAGTTAGTCATGGGAAATCTGGGTCATACTCTTCTGTGATAGGTTAATAACTTAGAGAAATGCTTAATTCTAGGGTTGAATGTATAATCAAAACTGAGCAAAATGCATTTGTTCTTTAAAATCTTGCTACTAGCAATCTCAGACCAGCAGTATCAGCAGCACCTGGGAGTTTATTAAAAATGGAAAATCTCAGGGCCCACCCCAGATCTGCTGATTCAAAACCAAAATCTACATTTTAACAAGAACCCAAGTGATTGTATGCACTGAAATTTGAGAAGCAGTAGTATTCTTAAAACAAAAAGACAAAGAAGAACATTCAGCAATTTGAGCAACCCATTCAAATCCAAATCCAAAAAAATTCAGTCATTGGACAGTAGACTGGCTATCCCATCAAGAGTTTCTGTTGTATGCAACTGTTTCTCTGCATGTCACTGTTCCTTAGGCACTTTAACCCAATGAATGAATATCCCAACTCCATGAAAGAATGAAGCAGAAAAGAAAACTGTTAAAGAGACCCAGCCTAGGGTCCTGGGAGAAGGGAGGAGGAGGAGGGAGAAAGGTACTCTCACTGGCATGGCCTTTAAAACTTTATTCCTTGATAGAAACTTTGCTCGTAAAAATGTCTGATTTCTATGAAGATGGAATAAAACCATTCCTGCCCACTGATAGTGTAGAAGTCAGTGTAGCTGAGTCATTTGGATGTAAGAAAAAGGCAACTCAAGAAATACTAGAAGGCCATGAGAGGCATGATCAGCTTCTTCTCTTGAGTTTCAGTCCACTAGTTTGGATGGCATCACCAACTCAATGGACATGAAAGTGAGTAAGCTCTGGGAGTTGGTGATGGACAGAGAGGCCTGGCATACTGCAGTCCAGGGGATCGCAAAGAGTTGGACACGACTCAGACTGAACTGAACTGAAGGGAACTGAAGTGCAGACATATCAAGGCTTACAACACTGTAAGACTGCAGGCTGAGCTGGCATGGTTAGCGAAGCTATGCATGCACACGTGTACATAATGGAGGGGGGAGGTGGACAGCAGGGTACTTAGATATTTCTCTGTAAATGTAAGTCACAGCTATACCTCCAAGGCTTGCAGAAGTGTTTATCCAACTCCCATGCAGCCTACCTCTTCACAAAGTAAAATAAATAAGACCCTTCTCATAGAAAAAGGGAAGGAAATGGTCACTTTGCCAGGCAGGTATGCCATATTAGACAACCTGCATGATTTGTATCAAGATCATAATCCTTGGGGTCATCTAATATTTGGAATCCCTTTTTTGAGGGAGAAGGTAAAATCATTTTCATGTATAAACAATGGAACACATGCTCATTAAGCACAGGCTAGAGAGAAGACTGGGCTTCCCTGGTGGTTCACAGGTAAAGAATCTGCTGCAATGCAGGAGATGCAGTTTTGATCCCTAGGTTGGGAAGATCCCCTGGAGGGGGAAATGGCAACCCACTTCAGAAATCTTGCCTGGGAAATCCTATAGTCAGAGGAGCCTGGTGGGCCACAGTCCACGGGGTCTCAAACAGTTGGATGTGCATGCTGTGTGCTAACTCACTTCAGCTGTGTCCGACTCTTTGCGACCCCATGGACTACAGCCTTCCCAGGCTCCTCTGTCCATTCTCCAGGCAAGAAGGGAGTGGGTTGCCATTTCCTTCTTCAAGAGTCGGACACGACTTAGCTAATAAACAACAGAAAGAAGGCTATCATGTATGATGCCTAGCAAAGTCAGACACCACGCTGAGGAGAGCTAAAGTATGACCTGAGAACAGAGGTTTGATACTTGTAATGCCAGCCAGCCAAGCAGGAACCATGGCGAGGATAAGAGCATGGCTCCAACAGATGGAATAAGAGCTGTCTTATTATGTAATAGGTAGGAAAAGAAAGGAGCCGGGTGAAGTAAAAAGATAATGGGCAGTGTGGATTTTCATGAGAAACCAATTAGAATTCAGGAATTGAGGAGATACTATCATATCTTCCATAAAGAATCACTGGACAGACAGTGAGAAAAACACGGTTACTGGATTTAGAATCTACTTTTCTCCCATGTTAAAAGTATAAAGATGATCCAACACACATTTGTTTAAAACTAACTTCATATATTACTTCATACATTAAGAACACTGGGAAAAGAGAAAGTTCATTACAAAGGTTAAGGAAAAAATCTAAAATCTTAATTACAAAAATGGGTAATTATTCATTCTCACATTATCTACAATATAAAAATTTGAGAACTAGGTTTAAATCCTCAAGAAAAGTTAAATGCATCTATAAGATAGAATGGGGCTTCCCTGGTGGCTCAGAATACTAGTAGTCAAACTATATATACTTAAAGATTTCTGTGAAGGAATGGGTTACCAACTAGAGCCCTATTCCATGAAATATTCTACCACCTAAACCTTAAAGAAACACAGGAACACACACAAACACCTGCAAGTCTTTGTGCACAGTGTGTGAATAGCAACAAAGGAAAACTCTGTGTCACGGAAGCCAGGAAACCATGCAAGAAAAGCTGGTGAAAATATGGTATCATTACTCCTTTGCAACTCTGAACTCCTGTTAGGACCACTGCTCAAATATCTAGTCTCTATCATTAGCTGTGTTCTGGGCATTTCCATTTGATGCTTTATCATCAATGCAATATATCTTGAACTAAGATCATTATCTTTCTTCTAAGATGATGACCTTGAAACAAATCTCCTATTCCTGTTTATTTCATCATTTTCTATTTATTTTCCTTTCATGTCCTTCTCTAAGAACATTAAGTGCTTCCTCTTCTTTCATATCAACTGTCAACAAAGCCTTGCCATTTGCCATTTAATCTTACATCCACTCCTCTCTCCACTGCTCATCCTAGGTTAGATTTCATCACTTCCATCCTTGATTAATGAAATGATCATCTAATTAGCACTATTCAGCATCTGTGCTCAACTCAATCAATGTCTTTCTCCCTTCTCTGCTCACTACCCCCATGTCCCCTGCTCCCTTCCCCTCTTAATTTTTCTGTCTTTCTAGTTGATTTTTTAAGCTTCCTATGGCCATACTAATCTTCTTACAACCTGATCATTTCACTCTCCACCCCAAATTAAAAGATCTGTCCCTGTCCTAACCTGAAGCAACTGCGAATGTGACTTTTTTTTTTTTTGCAAAGGGGTCTTTGCAGATGTAATTAAGTTAAGGATCTAAAGATGAGATCTTCCTAGATTATCTGGGTAGGCTCTAAATCCATGACAAGTGTCCTTATCAGAGACACACAGAAAAAGGAGAAGACTGTGTGAAGAGAGAGGCAGAGACCAAAGGCAGCCACAAACAAAGCGACACCTAGAGCCACGACTAGCCAAGACAGAAAATAGTACTACAATGTAAAGATCAAATATTGAAAATGAGAGATAAATAATGAACATCTTCAGCATATAAGAAAAACATGAATTTGCAGTCTGAATGTGTATGTTGAGAATCAAGCCAGGTTTAGCAGAATATATCTGAACATACCAAGAAATATGCCAGGAAATGACTAAATACCAAAGATGACAATAAAATTTGAAAAAGAGCCAGAGAAAAATGACAGATTACCCATAAAAAAGCAACAATGTTGGCAGTGACAAAACAGATGCATGAACATAGAATTAAACTCTCATGAAAACTCTCAAAAGTAGTTTTACTTAAAAGAAATCTATGCATTGCATAAAATATCCAGACACAATGCAGGAATATGGCATAGTCGGCAACAACTAGACTACATAGAAACAGACTAACTAGTATTAGCACTAAGGGAATTATACGCATATGTGATTCTGTATGTGTGTAGGAACATCAGCACAGCCATGTCTAAGTAACTGTATACATAGACAGGTATACATACACAAACACACAAACACATACATCCACCTGATCAGAACATGATAATTTCCTCTAGGAATTTACAGTCTAGGTAAGGAGGCAAAACTGACACACACAAAGGAATTAATAAGCAGTTACAGACTCAGCTAAGTGTTATTAACTGCTCAACATCAACAGAAGGTCAGTAATATGAACCTCGGTAAAAAGAAAAGATGTGAACTCTGCTGGTCTTCAAAACTCCAGCCTTGATAAGGAGAATGAAGGTAGATTCAGAGTGGGGTTTCGGAAAATGGGCAGGGAATGTGATACTGAAACAAGAGCATCCAAATTCCATCAAAGGATGTATATTGAAACTAGTGGAAAACAAAGCTGAATAATTAGTTTTTAAACAGGTTATGGCAAATGTTTGGAATCTTAAAAAAAATATATATATATCAATACCATGTAATAAAATAATAAATAAAACAAAGTAAAGTCCATTTTAACTTACAACTTCCATATAATTCATAATATATCATTGATATTACCATTTACCTTTGATGTCCCTTTAGTAGAAAAATATAAACCGGATCTTCTTAAAAGGAAGTAAATCTTTTTCCAGGACTTCTTTCCCTGTTCTTTTGAATGTAAGAAGCCATGGATTTCAGGATATGTGCTTGAACTTAGAAACATCTGGAAGAAAAATTAGACATTCTCATACAGTTTCTGAATCAATGATCCTGTAGCTTTATACTTCAAACAGAAATGTGCACCTTCAAACAGCACAAATGCCACTTATACACCACACATATACATACACAGAAAATAAATCAGTCTTCTGAAACCCTGAGGCAAGTTCCAAATGTAAATATGCTCACAAAATATATATTCTAAGTGATCAGTACCACAGAAATTATATGCTATTTCAATGTCCATTTGATAAGTGCAACTTCGTCTTGATACTTTACATCTCTTTCTTTAATAAAAGGTGAAAGAGTGATAAGATCTGAAGAGAAACCAGAGTATCTTTTCATCCCTTTTGGTGATTTTCCTTGAGATTATAGATTGACCTAGCAACTTCAACTTCAACTTCATTACAATCTAAGACAGACCATGATCCAGACTTCCATTATTCAGTGAGTAAAGAAATTGGGCCAAATTAATCTGCTCGATGAAGGTAAAGCAAATAATCTCTTCTTTGTCCTCTATGGCTCTCAGTTGTGGGTGGGTATGGCAGATTGTGTTTTCCAAAGAGAACTGTAACAGTAGCTCTTGTGCAAATGTTACCCTGCCAGTGAACCAAGAACTGAAGTTTCTCCACCCCCTTGGATCTGGGCAAGGCTTGTGACTGCTCTGACCAACAGGATGTGGCGGGAGGGGCACACTGCTGATTCTAACCCTCTGTCCCTTAACTAGCTTGATAGCTTTTACTCATTAACTCTTGGAAGCCAGCTGTCATGTAAGAAACTGGACCGCCCTGAGATGGCTGTATAGTGGGAAGCACAATGCAACTGGAAAAGCCCTAGAGGATGAGACACCATGTAGGGCGGGGGAGAGGTGAGGAAGAGAGAGGGAGAGGCGCCAAGCAATACCAGGCACATACAGTGAAAAGCCATCTTGGAAGAAGTGGGTCCATAACCCCTCTGGGAGTCGATCTGCCTGAGAAAACCATCCAGCTAAGCCCTTTCCTAATCCTGACCTACAGAACTGCTGACAAAATGTGAGTGGTACTTAAACCATTAAGGTTTGGACTAGTTTACTACCCAGTGAAAAGTAACTGAGACAGAGGGCGTGTGTCAGTCAGGAAATGGAGAATGAAAAGGGCTAGCTCTGAGTAGCTGTGCTCAGCATCCTTAGTTAAGACAGTGGATATGCATTAGTGCCTCATTAAAAGAAGAAAATAGAAATCTCTATGAATAAACTAATGCAAAATAGAAAAACTGAACCTAAGAGAAAGTATTAGCTAAAACAACGTGACATATTTTTAAAAGGCTATTCAGGGAAATGCCGAGAGTAGATAATGTTTTTTAAGTAAATTAAAAAAAAAACTTTTAATTTAATGAGCCACAGATATTAATTAATTGACATGCAAAACAGGGAAGTAGGTTTTTTAGTTTGAGTGCTTTCCAAGTTATTAAACCAAACCAATTAAATTTTAAAAAGGGAGTCACAGAGGTCACACTAGAAAAAGAAGGAACGTTTTAAAAAGTGGAAACATTGCCTCAGTGGAGAGAAGAGGTCAGGGGCACATGCAGGACTATCTGATTCCAAAGTTATGATTTTTCTTGTTTTTATACTCTAACATTAAAGCAGTATAACTAAATTATAGGCGAATTTGGGAAAGGAGGCAGAAGAAGAACTCCAATCCACCACTCTCTCATAACCCAAATGCAAAGTATTAAGAGGCATGAGAGCGGGACTCCTGGGGCACTACCTCCGCTGCAATTCACCGGAACATTCCATGGGGTGTCTGTGAAAACCCACTAGCATATAAGTAGCTTTTGGAGAAATCACGAGACCAATCATATCTCTAAAATATTTTGAAGCAAAAAATGAAATACAACTTATTAAAAATAAAAAGCCCACAGAAAAGAAACCTGTGATCCTCAATGTATTTACCAATGTATTCAAATATCAATACATTTAAAGCAATATCTATACTGGAACTATTAAAAGTTTTTGTCATTAAAGATGAGAGAATATTGAGTGGATTCGAGGATGCCTGCTGTTTAGATCAAACAGCAACCATTATAAAGACCCTGTTTACCATTAACCTGTTAACAAGTATAGTATCAAACATAAAATACCTGAAACCTTTTATTGTAATGCAAATGTCTTGGGAAAATGGTTACCTAAAGCCATAGCCAGTTTGGAAAAAATGCCCAACAGATGCAAAACTAAGGAAATGTTAAATACTTAGTATTTTTAATTCAGCTATTTCATTTTTCAATCAGGTATTTCCATCATAGATGGTATTTCATTGAATTGCTAAATATTTTATCACAAACAGGATTGAGGGCATTTATTATAAAAGTTAATAATACATATCTGTTTGTAAAGGGTCTACAATTTACTGGAAATTTTGACTTTTTCAAAGACTAACATATTCTCTAAATATGTCACAGAGCAAAACTCTGCAAATTTCCTTTTGTGATACACTTAAAATCCTTTGACAATTGTCCAAAACTGGAAAGAATAATATAGTGATGGGGTGTTTATTGACTTACGGAACCCTTTATCTAGATTTTGTTTTTTCCTATTCTTTTCCAACTTTATCTCCATCAAAAATTAATAATTCAAGACATAACATCCCAAATCTGGACATGTATAAATATGGATCTGACTGAATAGTCACTTCTCCAAAGAAGACATACAGATGGCACATGAAAAGATACTCAGCATCGCTTATTATTGGAGAAATGTAAATCAAATCGACAATGAGGTATCACCTCACACTGGTCAGAATGGCCATCATTAAAAAGCATACAAATAATAAATGCTGGAGAGTGTGTGGAGAAAAGCGGACCCTCCTACACTGTTAGTAGGAATGCAAACTGGTACAGCCATTATGGAGAACAGTAAGAAGATGCCTTAAAAAACTAAAACTAGATCTAAAAATAGAACTAAAAATATGATCTTGTAAGCCCATTCTTAGGCATATATCCAGAGAAAACCATAATTGGAAAAGACACATTCCTCCCAATGTTCATGGATGCACTATTTACAACAGCCAAGACAAGGAAGCAAACTAAATGTCCATTGACAGATGAATGAATAAAGATGTGATATATTTACATAATGGAATATGGAATATTACTCAGCCATAAAAAAAATGAAATAATGTCATTTTAAGCAACATGAATGGACCTAGAGATTGTCATACTAAAAAGTGAAGTAAGTCAGACAGAGAAAGATGAATAACATATGATATTGCTTACATGTACAATCCTAAAAAAAGAAAATGATATAAATGAACTTATATACAAAATAGAAACAGATCCACAGACATAGAAAACAAACTTACAGTTATCAAAAGGGAAAGCAGAGGATAAATTAAGAGTTTGGAAACAACATATATATACTACCATATATAAAACAGATAGCTAATAAAGACCTACAGGGACCTATACTCAGTATTTTGTAATAGCCTATAAAAGAATCTAAAAAAATAGATACATATGTATGTATAACTGAATCACTTTGCGGTACACCTGAAACTAACAGAACACTGTAAATCAACTATACTTCAATAAAAACAGAAAATTTTTAGTCTCATAAAGTAAAACAAAAGGGCACTGAAATGTAATATGAGTATATCTACTTATAAAATTAGATAAATAAATAAATATGGACCTTACAGTTTCCCTTTATTATTTATTACTTACATATCTTATTGAAAATATATTTTACCTGCAAAATCTGTGTGGGGGATATTTCACCATTGGTTTCAGTTGCAAAAGACACCATATGCTCTGGAAAAAAATACTAACGAAAAGATACATGTTACATTCTCCCAAAAGCCATGCCAGAAAAGAGGGAACTGTGACCAACAGAATACTCTAAAGCAAAAGCTCTTAAATCAGTGTTTTGAAAATTCACCCAAAGCACTTTTTAAAATGCCAGTCCCCGACTCCAACCAATACACAGGTGCATTAATGAGAAGACAGGAGCACAGCCCAAATATCAGGCAGACACCCTCAGAGGTGCCGACACAGGAAGATCCACGCACCTCCAGTTACAACACACTGCCCTCGGGCTGCTCGTGTGTGAGCTGCCGCGCCTGTCCCAGAGTCTTGCAACCACTCCAGCAGGTACTGAAGGGCTATTTTACAAACTCAAGGCTCACAGAAGTAAAGTATCTACCCAAGGTCACAGCCACAGTATAAAGGAGCCAGGACTTGACTAGAGGGTCAGGTTGCTAAAAGGACAATTTTGTCTACCTACTGTTTTCCCAAACCTGTTTAATCATAAGATTCACCCAGAAAAGCTGTTTAAAATAGGAATTCCCAGGCCTCAATCCTGGAGTGTCTGATTTAGTAGGTCAGGGTAGATCTGGATCCTGTGTTTTTAATAAGCACTATCTCCTCCCCCAGGAAACTTTCATGATCAGGCAAGTTTGGAAAATTACATGCCACTATACTTCCTCTAGGACAGGGTTTTTGAACAGTAGCTCTATTAACATCGTCTAATAACACTGTGCTGGGGGGACTGTTCTGTGCATTGCAGGACGTTTAGAGCATCCCTGGCCTCCACCACTAGCAGCCCCCCGTCCCCTCAGTATGAAAACCAAAAAGGTCTCCAGACATTATTATCAATCACTCTCAGTTGAGAACCACTACTCTAAGTCTACAAAATGAATCTATAGCCTTGTTTAAATAAAAGAAAAATAGATAAACCAAAAATGAGCACTAAATCATATGTCTTTAATGATGACTTTTAAATTTCTTGCTTTTAACAAAGATTCACAACAAGAAAACAGTTTCCTTTTAAATTCTATTTAATTTTTATTAGGACTCTTATTTTATTCATCAAAGATCAGCCCATTATGTTTCTATTAATAGGTTCAAATAAAAGAGAATGTAAGAGGCCTTTCTGGGTTTGAAAATATTCTATTATGGTGTGTTATCATATATTTTTCATTAAGTACATCATTTCAATCCAATTATCTAAAACTTAGTGTAAAAATATGCTACAGTTGCAGAGACAAAAACAATTTAAAGTAATGAGCCCAGAGGCTATTCTGACTTCTCTAGATCACTAGTCTTCATTACTATGTGACATACATTTATTTTCTTTTAAAAAGAACTATAATGAAAGTAGTATTTACTAGATAATGGACTGGTATTTATCTCATTTCTTCCTAGCTCAGTAATTATTGCACTGAAAACAAAATAATTTGGAACAGTAAGATGTTTGTCAATCTAAACTTCTGGTTAAGTTTCAACACTCCCAACAAACATCAATTTGATCTTCCTTTAGAATTTTTCTTAATTTCCTAAGTTTTGCAAAAAGACTTAAACCATAGTGTTTTGGAACCTGCCTGGGAGATATCTAATAATTCATTCCCCAAATCAAATGTAGTTTTTTTTCTTAAAAGGCAAGAAAAAAAAGCAACAGTTCCCCAAAACTACATATATGAACTTCTGTGAGCATGTCAACTATAATTTTAAAGGACTAGAATTCTTACCTACAATTTACCAAGTACATAATTGTACTTTATCTATAGTGTACTTTTTCCTCACATAAAATAAAATAAAATTTAAGTAAACTCATTTATTTTCCATAACTATTAATTGGGATTTCACTTACCATTGGGTTTTTAAAGAATTCATATTTGGCATAATTTTTTCTAAAGTATAGCTTATTTTCTTCTTCCATTCCCCAGTTAGATAGCACTTCAATCACCAGCTCGTGGTCTTCTATTGTTCTTTCTGTAAAGAATGTTCCAGTGAGCATGTCAACAGATAGATGAATGGATGGATGGATGAACAGACAGAAAGATGGACAGGTAGATAAACAAATATATATATGGACATATATATCCATACAAATATATAAAATATATTATGTATGTATCTTTATTAAACATAGCCAATTTAAACTCAAATCTGAAATAGCCAGAATGATAAAATTTTCATCAATTTTGAATTTGCAATGTTGATTTTACACCAAAGCAGTCTGTAACCCAAAGAGAAAAATGACATAAAATATCACAATGCACTTTTCACTAATTCTCAATCTCCTTTTGCTGATATGTAAATTACAAGTTTGCAACAAACCTGAATTAAGAATATAAGAGCTATTATTTTTCTCTAACTCATCATGGTGCCAAAAATTAAAATATTTGCCTCAAGGCTGAACAATTCATCCCATAAAGAGATGAAAAATTTTGACAGGTTCAGTATGCATTTAAGACTCATAATCTGGATAGTTAAGAAAATTTAAAATAAATGCTTTAAAAAAGAAACTTTTAATGCAAGGACATACACTTTTTAAGAAACTTAATTTCTTGTGGTACTTTTTATTTTCAATACTAATGTTCGGGCAGTTTGTATTAACCAAGAAGATAATTAGGCAGGGTGGGAAGGCACGCAGGAGGAAAGGAACTTAAGTTAAAAAAGCAATGGCATCTTTAAAGAGGTGAACATAACATGCAAAATTCCTGTTTTAAAAAGAAACTGTGATATTCACAGTGGTACTATTCATAATAGCCCCAAACTGGAAGTTATCTAAATGCCTATCAATGTGAGAATGAAAAAGTAAATTGTGTAAAGGACCAGTGGAATATACACTACACAATACACAACTGCATGGATAAATTCCACAAACATAACAATAAATGAAAGAAGTCAGACACAAAGAGTAATAGTCTACTTTCATAAGTTCAACACAAATAAAATAGATCTACGGTGTTAGAAATCAAGATAATGGGTACAGTGGGTGAGGGTGCAGGGCTGTGAGGGAAACACTAGGTGGAGATTCTGTTTCTTAATCTGGGTGTTAGATACTCAGGTACATATAATACAATATCTGAGAATCCATCAAGTGATCTACATTTGTCCTCTTACGGTAAGGTATGTCACACTTCGATAAAAGGGTAAAGAAAAGTGACTATGAAATTATTAATGCAAAATGGAGAAGAGTCAAATAAGAAATACAGAAATCCTCTGCTTTTTTGGGGTGTTTCATGGACCTTTTTGAAAAGAATCTGTCTCAGAAATTCAATACTCAGGAATGATCTGTGACCTACAACACCCAAACCCTTGAAAGTAATGTCATACTTAAACAGAAGCTTACTCATCTGAAAGGAAGTTCTTGTAAGAGCGCTCAATGAATATGGATGAGTTGGAGCTAAGTGTGTATCAGTACTCTGGGTTCTGTTCCTAACTCCGATCGTTCTTTTTCTGTCTCATTGACTAGCTCTGGTAGCTCCTTCTCTCCTAAGATGCAGTCCTTGGCTCGACTCTTTTCTTTCCCTTCTCTCAACTAATTCACTCTCCCTCCTCTTCAGCTATCAAGTCTGTCTGTCAAGTTCCTTGAATTGAAATCTCCACTGCAGTTGCTTTCACTGGCACTTCAATCCTAACTGCTAGACTTTCCAACCACTTCAAACATAGTCTGTCTAAAGCCAAAGTTCCGAAGGGTTGTTCCTCAAAATATTACACAATTCCAGCAATTCCACTTCTGAGTACATAATCAAAACAAGTGAAAACAAGGACTGAAACCGGTACTCGTACATCAGTGCTCATTGTAACCTCATTCACAGTAGCCGGAAAGTAAAAACATCCTCACATCCATCGACAAACGAAGGGGATAAACAAAGTGTAGTAAAGACATACAGTGGAATATTTAGCCTTAAAAAGAATGAAATCCTTACACATGGTACAACACAGATGAACCTTAAAGACATTATGCTATATAAAATAAGACAGACACAAAAAAATAGATACTATACGATTCCATTTGCATGCAGTGCCTAGAACAGACAAATTCACAGAGAAAGAAAGTAGAACAGTGGTTGCCAAGGACCAGGGTTGGGGAGGAATGAGGAGTTCTTGTTTAATGGGTTCAGGGTTTCATTATGGGAAGATAAAAATGTTCTACTAGAGATGGACAGGTAAATGGCTGCACAACAATATAAATGTATATAGTTCCAGTGAACAGTAAAATGGGTAAAATGATAAATTTTATGTTACACACATTTTCCCAAAAGTTGCTGAAAAAATTAAAAAACTAAGAGTATCTTCCTTTTTCTCTATCAAAGTGCTTTTTCTTAAATTCTGCTACATCTCTTACAACCCCATGTCCTCTTCGATATTCTCCACTGTTGTTACCCCAGACATTAGACTCTTCCTCCGAGTTTCTCACACAACCAACTCCTCACCCCCACTGTTACTATTCCAATTTAGACCTTCGCCTTTTCCTAACTAATCTCCAAACCGCTGTTTTCTCATTCTTCCAATACCACCTGGACCCTTATATCATAAGAAGCCTTAAAATACATTTGCATCAACATGACCACTGTTCAAAAACTCATCTACTTTCTACTTGTTATGAGATAAATCCATATAATCTGGCAGTTTTCCCTTGTTCATTCATCTATCCATTCAACAAATATTTATTGAAGGCCTATCATGTGTCAGACATTCATCTTGGAGCTTGCAATTTTGTAGTCAACAAGACAGTAAGTAAGAAATCATTGCCTTGTGGGACTCCCATTCTAATGTGAAGACATGGAAAAAAAAAATCTAATGTAAATCTTAAAAGGTGGCAATAAATGCTATAGAGAAAAATGGACTGGGGAAGAGGGAGAGAGGAGGGAACAGAGGAAAGAAATTCATTTTCTAAAGCTTGCCAAGGGACTTCCCTGGTGGTACAGCGGTTAAGAATCCACTTGCCAATGCAGTGCACACGGGTTTGACCCCTGATCCAGCAAGATTCCACATGCCACTGAGCAACTATGCCAGTGCACCTCAACTACTGCTACGCGCCTAGAGCCTGAGCATCTCAACAAGAAAAGCCACTGCAAGGAGAAGCCTGTGCACTGCAACGAGCGAGTAGCCTCCACTCGCTGCAATTAGAGAAAGTCCACGCAGCAACAAAGACCCGGCACAGCCAAAAATAAATAAGTAAAAAAAAAAATTTTAATAATAAAGATTACCAAGGAAGGCCATGTTGAGAAGGTAATGTTTAAACAAAAATCCAAAAGAGAAGAAGGCATGAGCCAGGCAGCTATTGAAAGGAAGAACAAGAGGAGACCCCTTGAGGCAAAAACCAAGGCTGGCATGTTTGAAGTAGGGCAAGGAGGCTCAGGGAGCTAAAGCTGAGTGAGCAAAGGGGAGGGGAGTACCAGGAGGAGAGGTCAGGGACGTAAAAGCGATGAGCTGGGGCCACTGGATAAAGACATGCAGGTCAGAACAAGGATCTGGCTTTTCCTCTGAGTTACATAAGAAGTCATTTTGAACAGGAATACTACAAGCTGACCCCTGTTTTCACTGGATGACACCAGATGCTGAGTGGAGAACTGATTTCACAAGGCTTAAGGGTGCAAGCAAGAAGCCCATCTGGCAGAACACTGCAATTAACAAGGGGAGAGATGACGTGGCTTGGATGAGCGGGCAGCAGTAAGAAGACATGTAAGAAGCAGGCAGGATCTGGATGTGTTCTGAAGGCAAAGCCAATAGGATCTGCTGACAAATTGGATGGGGAGTGAAAGAGAGGGGGCAGTTAAGGAAGACACCAAGATTCCTGGCTTAGGCATTTGGAAGGACTGCTGCCACAGAGCTAGGAAGACTGTAAGAGAAGCATTTTGAGGGGAGATCCAGCAGTCACTCAGATATCGAGTGAGAAGTTGCACCTCTAATAATCTTTATTAGCCTTACTTGTGTGTACTTCTCACACAACCCCAGCTGATATTTTCAATCTTATGAAGCACAGGTTCACATTATTAAACATACTATGTGTTAAGCGCTGGACCTGTATTCACTGCAACCACAGTGGGAGAAAATTGCAAGGTATTAAGCAGGAGGTCTGCCTATTTGTTTCATCAACCTGTGTTTAATTGTACTCATCGCCTATCCCTACCACTAAGAAAACAGCACATGATCTGCCCTGAAGATAAACTATGCAGACGAGAAAAATGACAAAGATGCACTTTCTTTACTTTTGACCTTCAAATTAGACTTTGACAAATACGATCACTTAGGGAGAATAATCAGCTTCCTTGATAGTTCTGTTGGTTAAGAATCCACCTGCAACGCAAGAGACTCCAGTTTGACTCCTGGGTCGGGAAGATCCCCTGGAGAAGGGATAGGCTACGAACTCCAGTATTCTGAGGCTTTCCTTATAGCTCAGCTGGTAAAGAATCTGCCCACAATGTGGGAGACCTGGGTTCAATCCCTGGGTTGCGAAGATCCCCTGAAGAAGGGAAAGGTTACCCACTCTAGTATTCTGAGGCTTTCCTTATAGCTCAGCTGGTAAAGAATCTGCCCACAATGTGGGAGACCTGGGTTCAATCCCTGGGTTGCGAAGATCCCCTGAAGAAGGGAAAGGCTACCCACTCCAGTATTCTGGCAGGGAGAATTCCATGGACAATAGTCCATGGGGTCGCAAAGAGTTGGACCTGACTGAGCAACTTTCATTTTCACTTTCAGGGAGAATAATGGCCAGCCAATCCTCTACTGCCTCAGGCAGGGATGCACCCTCTGTCATCTGGGAAATTATCTTGGATTAAGGGGTTAGTGGAAGAAAGGGTAGAGTGGAGACTGAGAGGGAGATGGAGAGTAAGTGGATGGCTTAGGTACCAGTGACTCCCTACTCTGCCCTTCCTAGAACTAGGACCCTTTCAGGGTAAGGAGTGGATGGTGATAAAACCCCATCTAAGTTTACTGGTGGTGTGTGGTTCAAACCAGGGAGAGCCTCGGGAGATTTA